AGAAAAGATACTTTCAGGAGAGATTGCTACAAAGTTTGTGAGGTCGAATGATCAACTTGCAGATATTTTCACCAAGTCTCTCACTGGTCCTCGTATTGGTTATATATGTAACAAGCTCGGTACATATGATTTGTATGCACCTGCTTGAGGGGGAGTGTTAGTTTACAACATGTATATAGTGTAGTATTGTCCCACATTGGTAGATGAGTAGTATGCCCTTGTATAGTATAGCTATAAATAAGGACCTCTTGTATTGTATTGTTCATCTAATATCAATAACATATTTTCTCCCGTGCCTTCTCACAATGTGAATGATGCCAAATGAATCAGCAGTGACACCCACAAAACAACAGCAATCTGACACCCGAACAGAGTCCAGCAGTCGCAAAAGCACAAAACAAACTACCAAATTGACTATCTTAGAAGTATAAAGGTAAAAAAGGCCAACCTAGACGTGAAGTATAAACTCCAAACAGTGTTTTAACACCAGAAAGAAAAGAACACCCGGAATATGCCGGAATTGACAAGACAATGTCGGAACTTGAGAGATAGTCGCGAGGTGGAGGTGGCGCGTGTGACTCACTCGCTGCCCACCCTGACGCCGGAGAAAGTTCTGAGAATAAATTGAGCCCTAGCGGCTCTGATACCATGTAATTTAATGGTGGAAGCTGATGATTTCTATTCATGAATATGAAAAGACTTTATAAAGTTACAAGAAATCTATCTAAGGAAAGAAATCAAAACAAATGAAAGAGAATATTACAGGATCTGGTAAATATATCTGGACTGATCTGGTAAATGTATCTAGACTATATTTACAATTAATATTCTATAACAATTTGATTGGCATGACTTTGATGTGGTTAGATTTAAATCGAAGATGAAGGGTGATTAATTTAGGAATGAAGACCAGAACTCCGGTTCTGATTTTTTGCTCTTTGTTTGGTATACAATGATAGGGGAAATGTCGCAGACCTAAATACAATAAAAAATAGTCATCTCTTGATAGCTTACACGTTTAGATGAGATGGTTCGCATAATTCAACACAGTTATCAGAACAGACAGAGAGAAAGCGCTACTAGATTCGGGTTTCGAGTCTTATCTCCGCCCGTCATTCTACGAAGATATTTCCTTGTACAAGAAATAGAACACACTCGAGGGATGAATAACTCAAAATTTTCCCGTCCTCTAAAATTTATGCTTTTAGGTGGGGTGGTTCTCGCATCTCACCTTATTTGAGAAGCGAAGTAACTTGTAAAGTAGGGTAGTGGGTCATTTGAAAAGAAAGAAAAGTAGAAGCATTTTTTAAGTCTCTTTATATTCTCTCTCCCGATTCTAGACAATGTCTCAAGATCAGTGGCGGACCCAAACTTTTATGCAAGCGGGTTCAGACATATACTGAAGTCTATAAAAATAATTGACAGTAAAAGTGACACTAAGTTAATAAGCAAACATGGTTCACCTAGTGCTTTTTATTTTGGTTCTTAATAAAACCTTAGAAAATTTACCCGCCGCTCTTTATTTTGTTTTCAAAAAAAAAAAAAAAACTCTCTCTCTCTCTCTCTCTATATATATATATAAAACAAAACTATTTACCTTTACAATTTATTGAAGAAATTTTATGATAACAAACATCAGTTTGGTCCATTTAAAATACTAATTCAACTTGCACTAACACTAAACAAAAAACAACTGAAGAGAGCTAAGCTAAATTAATTTTATATAGAAAGTTCCAAAACAATGGAAAGATACTAAATTAAAGTAAACAAGAAGATAAAAAGAACTGCAGGCCGAATGAGTGCCTGTCAGCATTTTGAAAATGAGAGAGAAATAAAAAGTGCTTAAGTTCGTATTCGAACGCACGACCAATTACAGAAATTGAACCCGCTTGAACCATCATACCAAGGCACATCTTTGTTTAAGGGTATTCAACCGCTTTAATTTTATACAGTTTGTTTCTTTCAGAAATAATTTCCATATAAAAACAGTAAAAAATATTTATGTAGCGGGTTCAACTCAACCCGCTTGAACCAATATGGGTCCGCCCCTGCTCAGGATCAGGGATGTCGCTTAGATTTAATCTTGTTGCTGTCCAAATATTACCAGTAGAAATACAAGTAACCATCGTTAAACTATGGGTACTAGGTTTTATCGACCAAATTAGAAATTAATTTATCTTATATGTGAATGGTTAAGAGTCAACACCAACTAGCTTTGTGGTTGAGGTACTGTTGTTTCTGTAAAGAGCTAAAACTAGATTTGAGATCAATTTTCAAATTATCAGCTAATGCTACCATATTCTATTGCAGTGCTGTACTCCATTATGGTCATGCAGCAGCTCCAAATGACAAGGTATGTTATTTGTGTTCGTCTGTTTAATTTGTTGTATCCCTCTTTTACTGCTGGTCTTCCGATCTGCATGGAAGTTGTAAAAAAACTTGTCTCTTTTCGGGGACAAACATAAATCAAGTGCTTCATTGTTATCTATATCAACTATGGTTGCATATTGGTGTTGTGTCCATCTTTGCCTTTTGGTGTGGTATAGATGATTACCTTGAATGTCTGTGGAAAGGTCGTCAACCTGGAACCCAGTTATCTGTCTGTTGCTGTATGCTGATAGTCAGACATTGCGTCAATATGGTCTCCTATAGCAGGCTTCCACTATTCTGAGTTATATAAGGATTCAACTAATTGGTATACACTATCCACACTAACATTACACTTTCGCTTTTCTGCAGACATTGCGAGAGGGAGATATGGCTCTTCTTGATATGGGAGCTGAATACCACTTTTATGGGTCCGACATAACTTGTTCCTTTCCAGTGAGTGCATGTGTCCTTAACTTTTTGTGGGCACATTGAAGTATACTGTCATGTTGCAACTTGCATGTTAAAGTTCTTATATCGAGTGCCACATAGAAATGTAATAACAATAAACATTCACATGAAAATTATATGCACTTCACTCTCCTGGAGGAAATGTGGATCACATATCCCCTGAACATAATAAGCACACTGTAATATTGTTAACCATTCAACATTAATTATCTTGTGATAATTTGCTTGTTCACTATTCTGCTTTGTATTTGTTTGGATGTCTTTCAGTCTGCTCGTGTTTCTTTTGCTTATTGCTTATCCAAAGTTTAGATAGTGAGGATCTTTCATGTTAAGCACTAAGCTTTTATTCCAATTTTAGCTGTTATTTGAGTAGCCATTGCACGACCGGCTCTTGCATTTTAGGTGGATGTGCCAGTAAGTACTTATTGGTAGCAGACAGTATTGGTTTAGACTTTAGAATTGGAAATTGATGCTTAAATGAAATATTGTGGTCTTTTATATTTAAAAGCTCTTACTCAGCATTGAATCTGTGTGCTTGGATACCCTCTCCGCATCACTGCCCCTCTTCTTGTGATCACTTAAAAATTGCTCAAATATCAATGTGCAGCTTATAATTGCAGCTTATTTTCCTTATGATCCAATTATGGATTTGCAGGTAAATGGGAAATTTACTCGTGACCAGTCACTTGTATATACTGTGAGTATCCTCTCCTGCGCAGAATAGGATAATGCTTTCATACCTCCTTGAGATGGGAATATAATGTGCATCTCATTTGTATTACCTCCAGTTGATGTTTTGCATTGTGCAGTTTCTGAGTAAATGTAATTAGTGCACAAGATATGCTTGTGAACTTTAGATTTTCCTTCTATTAAGAAAATGCATTATTTGGTTTAGGATCAAACTACAGATTTTAGTCTCTAGAGTTCCCCTAACTTGACTGAAACCCCGCCTTGGAACGTTCCTGAACTCCTGATGCAAACCATGTACCTCTATGAGCCTTCTACCTTCATTTGTTTCATTGGTAAGGCCTGTATTATGACAGAATATGAAGCTTATAGGACCTCTGAATGTGATTTTCCAATGTTCATGTGCTTTGAGTTCATCGTGAAATATAACAATTGTTTCATTATTATAAAATCACTATTATTTGCAGGCTGTCCTCGACGCTCACGATGCTGTCATTTCTGCCATGAGCCCTGGAGTGAGCTGGGTCGATATGCATAAGTATGACTTTGCAGTCAAATTTTGAGTTTGGCATTAAATTGTTGAGATCATCTTTTCGTTTTCCCCTTTCTGACGTCAAAATCAATACCTAGAATTACGAGAAAAGCTAATGGCAGAACTTGGATCACTTAGTAAACAGACATGAATCATGATATGCTCTCCCTAATCCCTTCACAAAATCAGTTGATTCTATATTTATTAGGTCACTAAACTAACAATTTAGAGTTTGTCCCATCAACTTCAAATTGAATGTTGTTTCTTTTTGAGGATGTCAAAACGATGCTCACTTTTATAAGGTGGAATATCTCATTACTTATTACACGCAATTCAGAAGATCGTTTGTCCCACCTTCGCAATAGCTCCATAAGTGGAAAAAAACTTTTGTCAATGAAAAGAAATAGATAAATATCCAGATAAACAAAGAGTAACCTATGTACACACATTTGGCTTCGCTTATCATAAAGTGTTCCACGATTAACAAATTGTTGATGTAATGTTTTTATCTTTTAGAGTCATGTAAAATTTGCTAGACATCAAAATCATAATGGAGGGTGTAATAATACACATCCCTAACCATAAACCTCAGAAAATTAGTTTTCTTTCTTCCGATGTAAAGCAAACAAACTACATCACACATTTCCATGCACGTTTGTTTCACTTTAAAGAGTAAAAGGTGCCTGCTTGGCCTGAAGAATGAATATTTACAATTTGTAGCTCTGTAAACAAGTGTAAACTCTATATATTTCTCTTGCCCCACCCACCCCAAAGAAAAACAACCTTTTGGATCAATGTCTAATATTAAGGAAAAGCTAACTTTGAAAATTGCTGAAGTTTCTCCTAGTTGTTTTGTTTAAATATTTTGCAATATTCTTCACTATTTTGAATGTGACAGCTGCAACCTTACAGCTTTTCTTTTTCCATGAAATTTCTAGGTGTTGAACTTTTTCTTGAAAGATGAATTAATATGTGTCCTACTTTACCGTGAAACTGTCCCCTGAATGATCAATTTGAAGTTACCTTTTGTTGGAAACAATGAGATACTATGACAAGTTCAAACATGTCGTAGTTTAAGCTATAATTGGAAGTCACAGAGGAAAATCTCTGTAGAAACATGAAGGCGTATCTGCATCTATTGGTGTTTATTACTGCCACAAATTAGGTGACATGGGGTCTAACTGTAGGTTACCACATGTTACTTTAGCTTGTTTCTCACTTGTATTTCACCATGGATTGCAGATTAGCTGAAAAGATCATTTTGGAATCACTGAAGAAAGGGCACCTACTTGTTGGGTATCTTCTATTCCCTTGTTGACTTATTCTCTCTCACGAGCCTTTCCTGCAGAGTCTGGAATAACTAATATGGAAAAGGGCTTTCTTTACTTTGATTTAAGGGATGTTGATAAAATGATGACCGAGCGACTTGGTGCTGTTTTCATGCCTCATGGGTTGGGGCACCTTCTTGGAATTGATACTCATGATCCTGGGGGTTACTTGAAGGTTCATTTTTTCTTAGATAAATGTCTTCCATTGATAAGTAGCATGCAGTTCATATATTCTCTGGATATAATTGAGAAGTGAATAACTGGCTTACAATTTCAGGGAGCTGAAAGACCAAAAGAACCTGGATTGAGCTCTCTACGTACTAGCAGAAAGCTCTTAGAGGGAATGGTCAGTAGTCTATATTTGAGTGACATTACATATTAGATTTAAACTTCTAGGTAAAAATTACTATTTCGTAAATTCTCACTGAATAACCACTAATGTGGTTCTTGATAATTCACCCTCTTGGAAGCAATCAATGAAAAGGGCAAAAGGGCAGCCCGGTGCACTAAGCTCCCGCTATGCGCGGGGTCCCGNCATCTTGGAAGCAATCAATGAATTATCTCTGAATAAAGGCAGCATGCTCATGCTTTTTCGAAGACTTGTTTTTTAGTAGATCTGAATCAAGGAGCAATGTTTTTTCAGTTAAAGTTGAATTGAACTATGCTTTAGTGTATCTTTTGTACTTCTTGAAGCGTACACTTGTCTTTTCAGGTGTGGTTTATCTAAGGAAATGACCTCTTCAACAGCATCCACATTAGTTGTTGGTCTTAAAATTTACTTGGCAAGTCTAAGCTTATTGCTGCAATTAAAAATGATAAATTTAAGTGATTATTGACCTAGTGGACTTTCTATGTTTTTTGTGAAATAACATGAAGAAATATTAAAAAACATGCTTGGGAACTGAAATAGTCCATATCAAAGTAATTCATGGAATCTAGACGTTGATGGGCCACTTTTAGTGTATCTTCAAGACCTCAACCTGCTAAAGTTTCTTATCCTCACTGACACTAGAAAATCTACTTACGCTCTTTAGATTGTTGCCTTACATTTTGTATGATTATATTGGTTAATTTATTATGCTAATCTTGTGGATTATTCTTAGGTGATCACTGTAGAGCCTGGTTGTTACTTCATTGATGCCTTACTACTTCCTGCATTGGAGAGTCCGTCGGTGTCTGAGTTTTTCAATCATGGAGAGATCAACAGATTTAGAGCTTTTGGTGGAGTCAGAATTGAAAGTGATGTGGTGTGTTTGCTGAACTTTATTTAATTTCTTTGGTGTTGTCGGAATAAATTCTACATAATGTGCATATTAACTTGGATTTGGTCCTTTTATTATTTCTTCACCTTTGTCAAGTTATACCTATTTGCTAAAAGTTTATTTTTGTCCTTGAAGTGTGTTACTGCCAATGGATGCATTAACATGACCAAATGTCCCCGGAAGATTGAAGAGATCGAGGCAGTGATGGCAGGAGTTCCTTGGCCAATCAAAAAGACGACCTTTCCTTCCGGAAATGGACAAGTGTAATTCTTTCAATTACCATCGGCCTTGTTTTCCTCCGTGTGTGGACCTCTGAAGAAAATTGCTTCCTTTTATGGACTAGTGTTCTCGATGAGCTAATTGGTGTTATGTTAGCTTCCTCTGTATCCATGAAATATTCTCTACAGATTGCTTTTTCTACATTAAGTTTTGCATTTCCCTACACTTGTATGCCACATCTGCATAATTGACTTGATCATTATGCACTGACAAGTAATCTAGCAAGTGTAATGACCATGGCGGATGGACAGTCGAGTGTCAAAAAAGCTGCAATTAGAACTGAAGTGCCCAAGTCCAAATCCTAGTTGGGCCTTTTCTACGCGCGCCCCTCCTGTGCACGGTTGGTTGGCACTAGAATTTTGTTCTCATCACAAGTCCTTAGTGCCTTAAAGCATTTAGATTTACGTACGATTGCAGCGTTAAACACATCATTTAACTAGGGCAAATAGGGTGTGTTTGGTATGAAGCAAAATATTTTCTAATTTTTCATGTTTGGTTGGCTTAAATGCTTTGGATAATATTTTCCTCTTGAACTCATTTTCTTTCAATTTGAGGTAAATATTTTCCCTATCAAGTGAGGAAAATATTTTTCGAATTTGTTTTTACTCATCAATTAAACAAGGGAAAATAAATGCTAAAACTACTCATTTTCTAGAAAAATATTTTCATTCATACCAAACACACCCCTAGTCTTTGAAATAATAGTTGAGCTTGCTTAAAATTTTTTCCATAATTAACGAGGACTCGTATTACTAATTAAGGACGTTTATCCTTGGTAATGACTAATGTATGAGATATCTGCCTCACTGGAACTGATAGCACATCAGTCGACTACTATGTGAAGATCTTTAACTCTTGCAGAAGAAATAATTGAAGTTTATCACAACCATACAACTGCTAATTTTAACTGTAGAACACTATACCCTCTAGTTCTTTATTTTTTAATGTCCAAATAAAACCGTCCCAAAAATAAAAATGGCAGTATTCTTCTCCTACACACCTATGTTTTTGCTTAACTTACTACGACAATGGTAGTAGGTTACCGTTGTTCCATTTATTATTTTTCCTAAACGCTCGAACAGTGTATTATAACTTTAAAATGTGAGGCTTTTTAGTCTTTTCAGAAAAATTAAACTCAACATAATTTGGTACCGTCAAACCTCGTCCCTCTCTCGGCTTTTCAATCCTGCAATGTGACCACAGGGATTTCAGCATCTGTGCAAGTGAAGTAACACTTCACAATTTGCTAACTCAGAGCAAAAAGAGAATCCAAAACACAAACCATTGTGGAGTAGGGCGGTCATACATACGATATTTCAAATTGTAGTGAAAACCTCTTGAAGAAATTTTTCATTAAAGCGAGAAATTCTAGATTGTACAATCTTTGTCATGGAACACCGTGACTTTGCATTTTAGACAGTACCTTATCATTCTAATTTAAGTTTTTAACGGTCCCGCAAATGATGATAAGATAACGAGAGAAGGTTCTTAATAACCATGTCAAAAAGTCAGAAGCAAACAATTAAAATTAGGACTCGAGACTATTATCTTAAGCAGTCTATCATGTGTCGGTAAAGTTTGTAAACATAGATTTATTTAACTTTTGTATGAACATATGATGCTATTACACGTTTTCTTCTTTTAACAATTAAGCTATGTCACACTTATTTTTATTAAGACTGGTGGTACATTGTTTTTACATTTATTAATATATTGTGGTCATCATAATCATCGTTTTACATAATGGTATTTTTAATTGATTTAGCTAAGCGGAGGTAGAATTTTAATAAGAAAAAGATATTACTATATCACTAGTGGTACAAAATCTTTCGGGAGATCTTCTTTTATGATTTATTACGGATGTTATTTTAGTCATAAAGTAACACAAAAACATTCGAGAGATTTTTGTTCCGTTTTTTAATTCAAATTCAAATTTTGAAGGCAGAAGAGTTCGGGAAAAGATAAAATTGGAAAAGCTGGCCCACATATGTGATTTAAGATGAGCACGGCGCCGTATACTGGAACACGACGCCGTATAGTCACTCTCTGAATTCTGATTATGTCAGTGTAAACAGGGGAACAGTAGGCCAAGTTGCTCCCCCAGTGAAACTGCTTCGCTATAAAACCCCAAATAGAGCTGACCGCTCCCCTTCCATAAACCCTAAATAGGAGCCACCATTTGCTTCTTAAACCCCTACACTTGGAAGCGAAAAATGGATTGTCGAAGCAACAATGAGAATGAGAGCTCGGGAAGCAAGATGAAATGTGAGTATGAAGAGCAAGATGAAACTATAACGGAAAGCTCCAACGTTGAGGTGGAGGAAGACACCGCCATGTGTGAGGTTGGGGGCGACAAGACTAGCGCTGACTATTATTTTGACTCATATTCTCACTTCGGTACGTTATTTCTTTAAGCTTTTCAGTGTCCCCATTTCTGTTCCGTGATTCCTCAATTCTATGTGCGTGTCTTCGTTTATCTGTTCTATAATGTGAAGGGTAGCCTCTTGATACATTATCAATCATCGGGTTGCTTCGTTTATCTGTTCTATAATGTACTTGTGTGCATGTTTCATTTTCCTGGAATGTGAAGGGATGTAGCTTGATATCTTTTAGTTGGTAATCACTTATAGAAGCTAATTTTCCCTCCTTCCTTCTAATGCAGGTATTCATGAAGTAAGTACCCATATTTCATCATTAAGTGATGGTGCTCTGCCCTCAGGTTTTGCTTAAATAGTTTTTAATTCGTGGTTCTAATAGTAATTCTTACTCCCAACAGGAGATGTTAAAGGATGTGGTGAGAACTAAGACTTACCAAAATGTTATTTACAAAAACTCCTTCTTAATCAAGGATAAAGTGGTCCTTGATGTGGGTGCTGGCACAGGAATCCTGTCCCTCTTTTGTGCAAAAGTTGGTGCCAAACATGTTTATGCGGTATGAACTCCATCTCTTGTTCTTCGGCCATACTATCACTTCTATATTATGCTTATTCCTTGTTCTTTCTTGATCATAACATGGTGGCTGTCTTGGTCCACGTGCACTGTATAAATTTTTTTTGTCTTCTGTGTTCTACATTATATAGATGTTGCAGTATTAGTTCATAAATTGATGTCGAACAAAATTGTAAAGTTGAAGAAGCTAATGCTAACTTATCTTTGCCATTTTGGTTTTCAGATTGAGTGCTCCAGCATGGCTGATATGGCCAAAGAAATTGTAAAACTCAATGGGTTCTCAGACGGTGAGCTAAATTTTTCACCAAGTCATAAACTTTGTGACACGTTTTCTGCTGTTTTTACATATGATCTTATTATTGAGTCTGTTTGCTTTCTCAGTTATAACTGTTATCAAGGGAAAGGTAGAAGAGATTGACCTTCCAGTTCCACAAGTGGACATTATTATTTCTGAGTGGATGGGATATTTTCTACTCTATGAGAACATGTTAAATACTGTCTTGTATGCTCGCGACAAATGGCTGGTAAGTTGTGTTTAGTTGTGACTATCAAAACGTTGCTTTCACTCGTGATGGTTTACTGTTGTTGCTTTTGGTTAATACAACATTCAGTTCTTGAATTTCAGGTTCCCTGCTGATATCTTATTGCTTTTATCTAGTTATCTTTGTGTGCATACTTTTATTCATTTTTTGATTCATAACAAAGTTTCCCATGGAATTTGTTACTACCTATGCCTTTGCTACTTATTACAGTAAATGCCATGATTTCTACAGGTATTAATTCCCGTTTCTGAAGATGTCTATCTTCAAATTCATCTTCTGGGCTTTTGGCTGACATCACTTACATAAAATAGCTTTTTTCTTGAATTATTATTTATGTTGGACCTTTGTGGTGTTTTTTCTTGTTTATGCAATAAGCAAATAAAAAGCTTTTGACATACTGTGTGGGAACCTGGACACGTGCAGTCCAGGATGCTTTTTAAGGGAAAATGGAAATGATGGAAGAAAGTAAAAGGTATGAGCAGGAAGAAGTGTTGGTAGTAATGAAATATAAGTGGGGAGTAAGGAAGAGGGCCCCTGTCCTTTTCCAAGTCATGATACTGTGACATTTGCAACCTCTTCTATATTAATTGGACCAAGCTTATTAATTAAAGCTTGGCAATGGGTTCAAAGAAAAAGGCGTGGGTTGCATTCTACCATTGAATGCTAATCTAGACTTTGCCCAACATGTCGTCCCCACCAATCAAACATATTTCAGCTATCATCACATTTCCTGCATTGATCAATCCTTCATGCTGATCCTTCTTCCTTTCACAAAGCACCAAGTCAAACCCCCAGTCACCCAAAAAAAGGAAAAAGAAAAATTTAAGACACTCAATATCCACTTCAACTTACTTTTGAATTCTCAAACCTCGATGAAGGAAGTAAATTGAGTGTACTATGAGAATTAGTATTTAAGTAGTTCATCGCTGGCTTATTAAAGACCTAGCGTCACCAAAAATTGGTGACCGGGACAATGTGTCTCAGTTTCCGCAGAAAAACATTTATCCCTGTTTAATGAACTTTTTCTGATTATTGCTTTCAGTAGAGTTCCCCAGGTTAGCTGATTTAATTTGCTAACCAATTTTCTGGAGTTTCCCTTGTGCTCCTCTTTTTGGTTGGTGAATTCTACTCAAAAGGCTTCTTTTTAATTGTATGCATTTTCTTCTTCCTTTACAGGTAAAAGATGGCCTTGTGCTGCCAGATAAAGCTTCTCTCTATTTAACAGCAATTGAAGATGCTGACTACAAGGATGAGAAAATCGAATGTGAGATTGAACACACGTCTTCTCCTTGATGGATATTGACTTGCTTCTGTATTTAGCATGCACTTCTCATGGGCTTTTCTGGTTACATCGGTCTTCTTCGTTAATGGGCTAAACTGTCACACTGATTCCAATCATTTATATGCTATTGCAGTTTGGAATAGTGTGTATGGTTTTGATATGAGCTGCATTCGGAAGCAAGCTATAATGGAGCCACTTGTTGATACAGTAGATCAGAAGCAGATTGTTACAAACTGCCAATTACTCAAGGTAATTAGATTAGTTGTCCTCAAATGTTCCACATTGAGTAGCCCTACAATGTGTTGTGGAGTTCTTTTACTTTACTTACATCTGGATCCCTTTTTCTTTTACAGACAATGGACATTTCTAAGATGGCTTCTGGTGATGCTTCATTCACAGTTCCATTTAAGTTAGTCGCTGAACGTGATGATTACATTCATGCCCTTGTAGCATACTTTGATGTCTCTTTCACGAAGTGTCACAAATTGATGGGCTTCTCCACAGGTTCATA